AAATAAACGTCTACAGAGGCCCTCCTATGGTGGACGACCGGTCCCCCTCCTTTGCTGCCTTTAAGCCACCTCTAGGTGCTCTTGTTGTTGATGCCAAGGGGTCCGAAGTGTTGTGTGTTACCGGTGCGGATATTCGAGGCACCGAAACATCAATCATCCCACGTGTCGTACCATAAACTTTGTAGCCTACTTAACGATAGTTTCATCGACCTTCCCCAACCGTTATCACTACCCGCATGCGGTTCCTCTGGTGTTTTCTCAGCCGCATTATCCGCGGTATTAGTTTGCTGCACAGGTTCCTTCTCCATAATAAGGAAGCTCCCCGGCGGCTCAGCCACCATCGCATCAAGGGCGACCTCCTCACCATTGGCTTGGACTATCAATTTACCGTCCCCTGGCTTGTCTGAAGCGATGAGAGCGTGGTATTAGAACGAGTTTAACGGTTGGAATTACCCATTCCCACTAACCGCACTGTGTCGGGATCGACAGCCTTCCCGAAATGACTATGTGCAAGCTCCCGGAAGTGTACAACTACGAGTTGTTCATCCACTACAGGATCAGCATCTTCATCATCCGAGTTAGACATTAGATTGGACAGTAATCCTGAGGCACAACCAAAGGTACTCAGGACTTCTAGAATGCGCAGAAGACCTCCTCAGCACGACCATTACTTCCTGCCGTCCAGGTTTTGCGCGGAAACTGAGATGGGGCGACGGTTCGATCCCCGGTGAGGGTATTTCTACGCATATTTTTCCGACCTACTGCGCACCTCCATCCCTCACCGTTGCGTTGCTATGCGTCTGCGTACGAAAGTAGCACGCAGACGCAAACTGACTAACTCTAAAAAAGGCATAAAAATTGCTAATGCAATATAAAACGTAATGCAGATAGTCGAGTCTACCAACAGAGAGTTTGGATCTCGACCCAATGTGTACCGCCAAATATGACAATATCAGCGAATGTCAAAGGATCCTCTTCTTCTACCCAACAACGCTCTCATACTGTTGCGTGATTTACTTTCGACACTCCCAACACGACTCAGCAGAAGACCATATGTCCTTTACAGAATCATCACTCTACAGTAGCATGCTTATCGATGACCCCATCACATCGCTTCTTTCTATTGATACCCAGCATACCATAA